AGGATCTCGTTAAATAAGCACTCTAAGGTTGGTATTATAACTTCTTTCGAGGCTTTATAGAATTCGTAAGTAAAGCCGTCAAGTCCTGGGACTTTGTTATTTGGAAGGCTATTTACAATGGACTCAATTTCTTCTTTTGTGATTCTTTTTAGAAGGGCTGCATTGTGTTCTTCTGTGATTTTTGGTAGGTCAGCCATTAGTTCTTCTGCAGCCCTTCTGTTAATAGCCTCCTCTTTGTAAATATTCTCGTAAGTGTCTTTAATAAACTCTATGATTCTACTAGGTTGTGATTGGTCGAGAGCATCAGGAATGTGAATTTTGGAGACTGCGTTTGTTGTATGTCTTACTTTGAAGCGGGAGAAAAAATATTTGGTAGAACATTCCCCCTTTTCGATCCATTGTGAGTTGGATCTTTTTTTCCATTTATTGGCTAGGGTGGTTAGTTCTTCCTGGAGTTGGAGGGACAAAAACTCTATCATGGTGTTCAGGTCTGTTTGTTCTGGATTTTTTGCTGATTTTGTCCTTAACTTTGTGATCTCTTTGTTCAGTTTTTGTATACGGCTTTCTGGAGACTTTGGTGGCTTGTAGGCACGTATGATTGATTGCATACAACATTTTTGGAAGTCCCAGTTCTCCAGATTTTCAAAATCTCAGATCTCCTCTGCGATTTCCTCTTTTAGTTTTTTGTTATTGAAGCATTTGTCGTCAAATTTCCAATATGCTGCATTTTGGGTGGAGGATGTGAAGTCCAGGGTGCATTCGACTAGGAGATGGTCCGAATTCCCGTAACGTGTTTCTACTTTTTTACAGAATTGAATATAATTATCATCAATAAAGATGTAATCAAGTCTCGTAGCCATATTGTGGTGGCCTCTTGTCATTTGGAAGAACGTGAAAAACGGTTTGTCTGCTGAGATTTCTGCAGTATCCATGAGACCAATTAATCGATCCCTAAGTTTTTCTCTTGTTGGGTCACTGTGAGCTTTAGACGTGCTTAATCTATCTACTTGAGGGTTGAGGTTGATATTAAAATCACCTCCTAGTATATTGATTGCTTCTGTGTCAAGTGTGGGGGTCCACTTATTTAGAAAAGATTCCCTCTCTGCTATACTGGGTGGGGCATACATGTTTGTTACCCTTAAGATTTTGCCTCTAACTTTGCACTGTACTGTGATAACCCTGCCATCATATGATTCTTCTATATTACTAAAGGTGATGTCCTTGTTTTCCGCTAGAATCGCCGCTTTGGACGACCAATGTGAGTTGTATGTCCATTGTTAGGCCAAAAATCTCCTCATACTTTCATTGTTCAGGTTAGTCTCCTGTAATAAAATTAATTCTATATGGTAAGATTTGAGTAGTATTAGGGTCTTTTGGTATTTGTGTCTATTATTAAGACCCTTTACGTTGAGTGTAGCTACTTTTATTTTTTGTCTTATGATTAAATAATTTTGGGGTTTGTTGTTATCAGCATTGTACTTGACGTACCTCCGTTCTCTTGGGCCTTTTGTAAGGGCTCTGTCTATCGTGGGCTGCTACGGGACTTTTCTCTTTTCTATTATCTTTTTTTCTATTTGTAACCAGGGTGAAACCATCACCTGATGTCTCTTGTGTAGGTACCGGAATATCTTTTGGGTCTTCGTCCATACTATTTGCAGAGATCTCTGACGTAGAGCTCGCTTGTGTGTGGACGGCTGATGTTGGCTCTTGGCTTACATTTAGATCTTTTTCCTGAAACTTGACGTTCATTGTCTTGGTTGCTTTATTGGAAGAACTTGTTTCAGGAGCCATTTTCTCTTTTTCTTCTACTGGGGCACCGATGGGAAAAGTTACATCCTTCGTGGATGGATCTGGGGTGTTACCCGAATTAATGTGCTCTTGTTGGTTGTGTAGATCTTGCATTTCATGCACGTTGTTTCCTATGTATGGATTATTTGTGCTGTAAGTAGCTGCTTTCATTGTAGGATTCTTTTGCCGCGCTTCCTTATTCATGTTCCTTAACTGTTCTTTTTTTTTTTTCTGTAGCATTCTAAGTTCAACTGATGTTTTGTATTCTGGACAATTCTGTTTGATATTTTCTGATTCGTCACAATAGAAACACACCTTGGGTGCTTCTTTCCATTCTATTTGTACCTTTTGATCCCAGATATGTGTGTGTCTAGATAGTCTCTCTGCGAGATCTGGGTCATTCGTTATCTCGAATATAATCACCCACTGGTTAGTGCTTATCGGGGTTCCTTCGAATACCAGTGGTTTAATGGATGTGATCGAGCCTATGTCCTCAAAGGCCTCCTTGATTTGTTTAGAGATGAATTCTTTGTGTCCTAATGGGACATTTCTAAGATTGACTGGTAGGTAATTTCTTCTAAGATTTGTTGGAATGTAACCCATAATATTTTGTTTGAACAGTACCATGCCATCAATAGCATATTTTTTTTGTTTTTTCACATTGGCGAAAATGATCTCTAAGTGAGTGCGCTTTCCATTAGTAAAATGAGGCTTGGCGGCAATAAAATCATCACCGATTTTTGTATACATGTTCAGAATTAAATCATTCGTGGAAAATTTATCCAGACTTCTGATGTCAAAGATCAAAGCGTTCTCATTCTTGGTATGAATATGACTTCTGGGCGCAAACGTAGTATAAGTTGCTTTTCCTCTGTGTAATTTGGTAAATAGGCTCGACCATTGACGCTTTTGTTGAGGTTCTGTTTCGTTCAAATTTTCTGTGGCTTGGATTTCGTCATTGTTACTTTGCATGTCATGCAGATCATCTGACTTTTCGGAATTCGT